TGAAAAGGAAGTAAATGAACAGTGACAGTAGATTAATGTGGGTTTGTCATTAGCACTGCTGCAGCGAGGGACGTCCAGATCTGGAGATTTGGGGAATAATTCATCTCATTTTGACAAACAGAAGGCTGTGTGGGACCATTAACTAGGGCTTTGGATGAGACGGCACACGCAGAATGTGTTCTATGAAGATAAATAGTCAATAACGTAATCTTATATATAGATCAGGTATGAGTGCTCTAATATTTCTAAAACAAATAAGACATAGTTCATTGTAACAGTTTCAGAGTTGTTATACTTTTTTCATTAATGTAGATTTAATAAATATAAGCCATACTGGTTTATAGCAAAAATAAAGAAAGAAAGAAAATTCAGTCAACAGGACAAACGTTTAGATTCTAGTTTTGGTGAAGACTCATCCAAGTGGCTTCTTCAGTTCTGGTCAAGTGCTGATGGACACTGCCTTATGTCTGTCTGAAAGGAGGAGATAACTGCACTGAAACTAAGGGCCTATTTACACGAGAACGCTTGCGGGTAAAAACGACAAAATATTTTATCAGAAGTGTCTTTTGTTTAGACGGTGACGGCGTTTTATGGGCTTAAAAATGCCAAAATCAGAAACCACCCTCCAGAGTGGAAAAGTACGCTCCGCTATAGCGTTTCCATCTACACTGCCCAAGACGCAAAACTCTGGTCAGATCTGCTCACGTCTTGTACGCGTTTACATCACATACATCACCACCTGGCGTCACCACCTAGCCGCCTGGCATGCATACACACTCAAATTCCACACACTTTTGCTTCACCGTATGCACGCAAATTTCCTCTTGATAAAGCTCGTCTAAACGCGGAATAAAGAGAGAAGACGCGGCGCCACTTTTGCATCTTCTGTTCAGACCGTCATCATATAAATGTAGCCTCAAACTATAATTTATTTACAGTTTCTGCTTGTTAACTAGGTCTATTGAACTACACCACCAGTAGCTCTCCACCCCTTTTCAAGTAGCTCGCCAAGGGATTTCTGAATTACACAAATTGTCCTGAATAACTAAAATTTGATGAAGTATATGCCTATTATTATTGTAAATCTATCACTTTGATGCCTGACTTTGTGCACTCATAAATAATGTTTAATGTTTTATATTTTATCTAACTGTACCACATCTAAGTCTTGTTATGTCTCTTATGTACACTTTAGTTCCGCCAAAATGAGTAGCTCTCTGGAATTTCTGTTTTGTCAAGGTAGCTCACCGGAGGAAAAAGGTTAGAGACCCCTGAACTACACTAATTGTGAACTGTCCCTAATGGTTGCTCTCACACTTATTAGCATACTATTTGGCTATTTGTATTGCATTCTTTGTTTTGATTTAGGCCTCAGGATGGAGTTGTAAATGCATAATAAATGATATCTAAGCCCCCCATTTCTGTTCAGAGATGGATTGCCTAACAAAAATAGCCTCTTTGCATATTATTTGATGTATAGATATTATGGTACCGTGGCCTCAGCACATGCTTAATATTTTATAAATGAAAAATAACAACTAAAGCATGACCTCAAAAAAGAAGGAAAAATAAAATACACTCTTGAATAAAAATAAATACAGCCTACAATGAAATTCTGGCAAAGTGAGTGATCATTGCAGTTTTAATTTATATCCTCATTAAAATTGCTAATTAAAAGACAATATTAAACCATTCCAATTAAAATCATTCCACAGTGTGAGAATAGTAATAATAGGAATAAGCGTCATGTTTCCATCATATGAGACTTTGAGCTCCGTCTAACATTTCCGCCTAGTTTCTTGTTACATAATAATGAAATGGCTTAGCGTCTCTTCCTCTCAGGCTCATGTCGTCTCACATGTTCAAAGTAAATCCTGTTTCATTTCAACCTAAACCCATTAATCTCATATTAGCCCTGCCTTTAATCATCTGAGTAAACCTTGGTGTGATGAATAGTTTGGCCTTCTGCTGCGTCCCTCCAAAACAAATAAGCTGTCACTATTTGCCTTCAACAGATTCGTTTTCTTGCCAAAAATGAAGCGAGTAGCAAATTGGAGAGTGTTTAAGAAGTGGCGACCTCCATGCACAGTGGCTGAGTCAGCATCGTTACCTTGAGAGAAGAGCCAAACGCAACTTGTTGGAAGGAAACTTGAAAATATCACATTAAAACTACAGCGACGCCATTTTACTAATGCCAGCCCAGGTGCTGCAGAAATGTGTCGACCACAGTTGTCTCTTTTCTGGTGGAGGATCTGCTGCCTGCTTGTCTCCATGGAAATGTTATTTCCATTGTATAGCACAACCATTCCCAAAGTCTGTTGTGCAATGGCCAGCCCCAATTGATGCGATGATCACACAGGGCCCATTTAATAATATTTCTTTCTACATACAAACGAATACGTAATGTTTTCTCCTTAGAGTTATGTTAAAATGATCGATTCCTGTGGGCTTAATACTAATATAAAGAAATATCTCATGTAAAGTTGATTTAAAACTCAATTTTCTTTCTTGTATGTTCTGTGGACATCCTTTGAGGCCCCCCTGGATCCCTGGACGCTACTTTGGGAACCACTGGTATAACATTTAACTAAAACAAGTAAGACACCATCAGGCCAAGTTAACAGGTCAAACCAGTGGAGAGGTGAGCATAGTCATTTTAAGAAGCTGATTTTAAAGGCAATAAAACCTGTTATACGGGACAGATAGATAACTTTAATGCCATACTGTGGAACATTCCAGACAAAGCAATTAGATGTCCCTGGAGACAAGCAGGTGGTGAACATTTAATTATTCAAAAAAATCCAAGTTTTATCAACTAGTTACTTATTATAGTGTATAAAAAATTAAGTCTAATTTGGAGATTTATAATGTAGATACTTTTGAATCTATTAAACAGCTAATCAGCACTGAATTTTCTTTTCTTTTTTTTTTTTTTTAATTAGAAACCCCATAATATTTAATGAACAGTTAACATTTCTCCCGGCCACAGGAAAATCAGCTGATTCCATTTTAACCTGCTTTTAAATCCCACTTTCCTTTAGCAATGATGCTTGAAAAGAGGGTGAACTGATTTTATTAGTACCAGATACTCCCTTTAAATCCATTATCTTGCACTGAAATGCTTTAAACATTCATTCTGGTTTATCCAACAAGAGCCTTTGATTGGACAAGGTCAAGAAGCAAAGGACATAACTTCATCTATTCAGGCTGACACACACAGACATGAAGCTGAATCACAGATACATACATATACTGTATATGTATATACTGTATATAAAAGAGTGACCTTTGGAAGCGTAGATGCCCTGAGTCCAACATGTCGAGTGCGATTAACCAGACAAATGGTGATAATAACTGAACTGCACAGAGAGAGAAAGTTGTAGATCAAAGGAATTAAGATCATCCATAGACATGACAAGTGGCTGTATAATATGTTCCAAGTACAGTTTGAGTGGAAATGAAGATATAAACTAGAGACAGACCAATATATGGGCCAATATATATCGGGCTGATATGGGCACTTTTTAGCGTCTTAAATTTTCACCATAGCCCAATATTTTTGTTTTCTCTGACCTGCTGCTTAAAAAGCTGCATTTATTTAGATTGGTACAGCCTCTTTTATGGCTAAAATATATATAAGTATTACTATATTTCTTGCTATTTTTGCTACTTATTTTGAATTTTATCATTACTTGTTATTTGTATTTTTGGTCTTTGTTATTATATTATATTGTGATGCGATGTGATGAGCTTCTGTGTCCAAATAATTGCCCAATACTTGCCCAATAATTGCCCAATGAAGTTTGTAGTCTATAGCAGAACGTTCTGAGTAAAGAACAAAATGTACTGTCTACAAGGATTATTTAGTATATATTTAGTTTAGCCGTTAATATTTCAGTCTTTTCTCAAAGAAGATATGCTTGCAATGTGTGCTCAGAACACAATCCTGCTTTTTAAACACATATTGGAAATCTAATCACAATCCGCAGCCTTATACTCAAGCATATCTACACTGAAAAGCAATGGAAAATGGTGCCGGAAAATGACAATGACAAAACTGATAAGAGAAGAAAGCCATGAATTAAAAGCCACGAGCCACTGAGTTGTATTAAGGCAAAATGGAGCTCAGTATTCAGTATCAAAATTGTGCTAATTATAACTAATTAACATATTATACAATTATAAATGGGCTCATGCTGTATCAACCTAGCTTGAAACTAGCGATAAGAGTCTTCTTGTCTTCTTGCTTCTAGCTCTTTTATCATTCTTGCAGAGCATAATAAAGATGTAATGTAACTGTACTGTTCAAAGTGAAGGATAAAAAATTTAAAAAGAGGGAATAACTGACTTATTTCACATAAGCCTGCGACACAGATAAACGGGAAATGCCAAATATCAGAAGTAAATCCTGTCATTTACACTAATATACTGTCAAAACTCCACTGACTGAACCATAATATTCCGTCATGGAAACCAGTCTTTCCTGAACGAGCCTTCACTTCAATCCTTTCATGGTGTCCTCCATTAGCCCTGTTCTACTAGAGTCTGCTCAGAGCTTTGTGTTTACTTTGGCTCAGGGCAGTTTCTTCAAACGATATGGACTGTATTTAAAACGCAGTGAGGGGAGAATATTATTATGCTACTTAAACATGTAACCAGTATTACAACATATTCCTAAACCATACTAGCTAAATTGCTTAAAAAAATACTTATGAACTCCAGTTGTACAATTTTTGTTCTCTACGTACTTATTTTAAACAGTGAAAGCTCAGGCTATATACAGTTCATTTAAACAGAGGCAGTAGGTTCAACATTTCACTCCAGCAGTTTTATCCAGTAAAACATAATAGCTGCCTGTGCTTCAGCAGAACGCTGTCATCTACATTAGTTAGGGGTTATATTATCATACCAAAAGCCATCACATTTTTCACATACAGGGAAACCACACTTGAATAAAACATAGAAACTGTATTCATTTAAATACATTCAGAGTTACTCACGTGGGCTTCTCGTTGGTGATGAGGACTTTGACCTTGTTGAGGGCCTTCTTGGCTCCGGTGGGGGCGGGGGCAGCAGCAGGAGCAGGTTTGGTGTGGGCGGGGCTGGCGTGGGGGCTCGCGATGTAGACCTTCTTCCCTGCACTTCCTGGAGGTTTGGACGGGGAGAAGTCTGTGATGAAGACTATCCCTTCGCTCGTGAGCACTGATGAGGAGGATAATAATCAGTTCAGCAATATAGAGCTTCACAAACAATGCAACTGTCAATGTGTTAAACATAAATTTGATTACAAATGTTATATTTCTGAAGAGCCATTGAGTTTTTAAATGAAATGTGGTCCTGATTTTTTTGTTAACTTAGTGAGTGCAATTACCTTACTCCAGTCAAAACATTTGGACAAAATATTAAAAACAAATGATTTGTTATTTCTGAACTCAAACTTATTTTGTCTCATGTAAATGTTTTGCAGTGTAAGCATTTAAACTATACAGCAACAATTCTTTGACTGAACAATTTGTCTATTTTTTAACACTTCAGCATTTTAGTAATTGATAAACACATTTTTAAAGCACTTGAGGCAACAATTGCCACAAAAAACAAAAAAATATATTTAGCATAACAGAATACATCTCCATTAAAAAAAAAAAAAAAAAAAAAAAACGATTACAGGCCATGTTGGAAGGGTCAAAAGGGTCGAAGGAGAAGGACAGGATATTCTCTGCGTAGCTCTTCTTCCACAGTTTGGTGCCTGTGTCTCCATTCCACAGGACGATGTAGTTTGGAGGATGAACTGCCAGCAGCAGGTCCCGAGAGGCATCCTGAGTCCACAGCCACTCCAAGTCTAAAGACAAACAAGACAAGACAATGAGGGGAAAATAGAAAACTGAAGTGAGAGCCAGGACTGGACTGTGCCTGTTTGAATGCTGAAAAGCCCAGAGTATCTCCTTCTGGCAGAGACATGCTGTCACCCAAGTTCAGTAAGAGTCATAGTTGTCAAAAGTATTGCCACTTTACAGTAACGTTATTCAAGTAAAGTTAAAAAAAAAAAAAAAAAAATTATCAAAATAATTTACAGAAATCTATTCATAACATTATTTTCTGAATGAATTTATGAGACCTCGGGAAGCTTCTGTGACAGTAACAAAATTTTCAAAATCAATAGTTTCATGACCTAAATAATGTTTTTTCTATACAATCTCAAATTTTCTACAATAACAACAAACTAAATATGCATAACAACTCCTAGGACAAAAACTATATACAGTATGTTTTAGAAGCAAAATTGTTATTTAAATTCATTCTAGATGCCTGCTTTTTTATCTGCAGGTTTATGTCAAATTAACTATACTAGTACTTTTTCAGTCCTTATAATGGTGTTCACATATGACACATGGTAATGTCTGATCCACTGGGAATAAAAGAAAATGAAGAATTTCTCTGTGCTTTGGTTAGGGTGTCAATACACATAAGTAAAAGTTATCAGCAGTTTCTTAATCTCCATGTGGTTGACCTTGGATGGGTTTGGAGTGCTCCTGTATCTCACAATGGGCCGTCCCACTGACCACGTCCCACACGATGATTTTCCCCGATGCGTCGCCTGAGGCCAGCCGCAGACAGTATGGAGAGCTCAGGTTGTGATAATAGTTTTCTCTGGACCATTTCACCTGCATTACAGAAAGAGAAGGTGATTATATGGGAGGCTTTAGTGAAGAAAAGATTGATTCAAAAGGAACAAAAACGTATTTCTAAATCTGTCCAACTGAAAGACTTCTCCGTAAAGAGGGGGTCAGGACATAGAGGTGGGAGAACGTGTTAGTTCTTCAATAGTTCACTTTCAAAAGCACAGTTCCTGATTTTTACAGCTTTAAAAACCTGAAAAACAGGACTACTTCATTTTAAACAGTTTTAAGCATTCCATACATATTCCTCACTTTCGTAACATATTCGCTGGGAGTTTATAAGTGCTTTCCACATTGTTCAGAGGCCAGAGAGGAGTTTGGCCATTACACCACTGCTAACAACATCTACTAAACTAACAGCGCCTTATGTTGTGGAAAAAATTATCTTGATGTTAAATAATTAATCCATTTGTTTTTGAAATACAGACAAAAGTTAATTTTTTTGTTACAGCAGATATGGACAGGGCCTAAGCCTGCCCTGGCCACAGACCTACAGCTTTTCAAGCGTCTTCCCCTAGTCACCTCGGAGCATCTGAGCTCTATTTATACAGAAATACAAGTTACTTACATATCAAAGCAGAGACTTACACTACAACAAAGAGTTTCCTGTCAGGTGGGGACAGTTTCTGCTGAGCCACATGATAAAGACCGGTCTGGGTCTCAGGTAGAAAACACATTCAGTAACACAAAGACAGATTGAGAGAAATCTTTTTTTCCACTCAATCTCTACACTTACACCATGGTTCGCAATTAAATATATATTTTTTATAATTAAATGCAAACAGCACATAGAGCTTTCATTCTGACCCTAAGAGTTGTTTTTACATTCGATATGTAATGGAGACTGGAGCAAAACAAATTTTACTTTATAGCGTGAAAGAAATTGGAAACAAGGAAGCTTACAAATGATAGTTATTTCAAAAGACATAGGCTCCAACAGGGGAACTTTGCATAAATGTTTTATCAGGCCTGCATTTCTCATGAATATTGTAAGCATAGATTTTATTGTAGATGCTATTGCACTAAAGCTTTGTTTCTTGAGCAGATGATGAGGAATGGCCCATCCCTGTGTCTGCGCCGCCTTACAAGATTAAAGTGTTCTTCACAGTGAGAAATGGGAGCTACGGATTGAGCCGCGCTGCTGATAATCGCCACTGGATTTATTGGACCATTATTTACTCTAATACACAACACAGACACAATAGCACACCTAAAGTCATGATTTCTCCACCTGTGAAAGGCTAACTCTATCTGCTTCTGTGGTTGATTTAAACACAAGAGCTGCCAGACTTATGAACGCAACTCTGCCCAAGGTGACACAAAGTTAACATTAATACAATCCGTGAGATACATAAAAAAGAATGTAGGTGTGAGCTTGGAGTTTCCTGAAAATGTAATACAAGTAAAAGGTCTATAAACATCAAAGGAAAAGGAATAAACAAAAGGGAGCATATTAACAAAAAAATCCCACTTCAAACACTGACTGACTAAGTGTATTATTTGCTCTTAAGGGCAGCACAAAAACCGCAGGAAAAAGAGACGAAACTAAAAATATAATTGATTGTCAGTGGGTTGGATGTGCAAAAAAGTAAGATACATGCCTCCAAACAGAAACTTGCTATTTGCACTAGAAGACCGATGTCACATACTATATATGGAGATAAATAAATTATTATTTTTGAACTTCAAATTAATTATTAATATTGATCATTATGAGAATAGACTGGTGAAAGTAAGTGTTGAAACATGTAAAGTAAAGCAATGAATTATTGTAAAATAAAATATGTGTATATTATATATATTACAGGTATTATACAATAACAATTAGGTGCGCTCCAATTACAGACTGTATAAAGAAGTGGACTAAGCGAGTGTGACCCATAGCGTTCGGATCCATGCAAATGAAGCTTGTGATGCTAGTGGTGACAGAGTGATTTTTTTAAACTGACAAAATAGAAATACCAGGATCATGTAGACCAGGTTAATACAAACATTTTAAGACCAAAATGACAAGGCTCACAGCAGCAGTTACAGAGAGAGGGGCTCCAATATTCTAATGTAAGTCAATGGGAGCCAGGGTTAGAAGGAGCCATAAGAGCTGCATGTGAACTTTCTATATGGAATGTGGCAGCTAGAGCATTAGCTATGTACATTTATTAGTCCAATATAATTAAAATAATGTCTAACTGCAACATTTTTTTTTTTTTTTAGCTTTTTAACACATGTAATTTGCTGAAACACTAGGAACTTAAGGGTTGGTTATCAAAGTTCCTGTAAACACCATTATTTTCACATTATAATAATATCATGCATACCTTCACCACATTGGCTTTGTGCTTCTCCAGGACCTGAATAGTCTGTGAGGTCTTTGGGTCAATGATGAGGATGCTGGAGTGACATCCCTGAGCTATGAGCCCCTGCCAACCCCTGGAAAAAGAAATTCATTTATAAACAAAATCTATGTAAAACTGAATATAAATACTAAACAAATGAACAATATAATACGCACTTACAAGTAATACATTTAACTTTTCTATTATCATTAAACATGTTCTCAATTATGATGGTAAGTAATATGAAGATGAAATGAGGCAGAAAATACAAAAGTTAATGTTGTGAGGGGATACTGTTTTGGAAATGCATGAAAATGTGGGAATAATATAAAGCTCTATAACTAATTTAGTCTAGTTTAGGGTCCCATTAGCAACGTTTAAACCTAATTAATAACATTTACTTTCGTTCAGTTTACAATTTTACAGAGATGACACAGTATTCATGAGCTACTCTTTTCTGTGCGAAGCAAACATGTCACAAATGCAGGGCCATCATGCCATATCACATGACAGCAGAGGATGCCCTTCTTACATGCAAACAGTGCCGCATATGGGCCTACATTTGCTGCGTTTATTAAGCACTTTAATAGCGTTTATAACTTGATTGGACAGATGCATGCTGTAAATCTAGATCCAGTGCAAACGCCATGTCCTGAGCATCACAACATCCCCGCATCTGTCGGAAGAGAACGAGCTCTCAAATGAAGCTAATCACCGAGCAGCGCTACTCACCAGTCAACAGCGGTTTTATTCTGCAAATTGAGAGTGCCAGTCAACGTCCGAGCTGCTAGTTTGATGTTGACCGTGTAAGGAATCATATTTGAAGGTGACTATCCACGCTACATCCACGTTTGTGATCTAAAACGCGGTTAAAAACAGATAGCTTCAATGAATCGCTGTTGTCAATTCTAAACAGGAAGTACTGGTGTGTTACTAAATCTAGCGCCGTGTAGAAACAATACAATAGTTGCGACGTTCCTTTTTTCTCTTTCTCCTAAAATACATTACATTCATTACATCCAAAGCTCGTTTATTATAAACTAGCCATATCCAATGTTGGGAAGGTTACTTTTAAAATGTATTCCCCTACAGATTACAGATTACATACCCCAAAATGTAGTTTGTAACGTAATCCATGAAGTTATTTAAAGTGAGTAACGTAATCTGAATACTTTGGATTTGCTGTAGAGAAACAAAGACTAGGATGGTTTAGTCCTGGTTTAGACCTGGTTTTAGACCTGTTTTAGATCTGGTTTAGACCTGGTTTAGATCTGGTTTAGATCTGGTTTAGACCTGGTTTTAGCCCTGGTTTAGCTCTAGTTTAGATCTAGTTTTAGTCCTGGTTTTAGTCCTGGTTTTAGTCCTGGTTTAGACCTGGTTTAGATCTAGTTTAGACCTAGTTTAGTTTCCGGCAATGAGTGGAATTACCGAAAAAAAAAAAAGAAAAAAAAAAAGGGGGGAATATAACCCAAAATGTGAAAACAGAAAAATACCGCCGTGTAATCCACTTATTTCAACAAAACTGTAATCCAATTACCACTCACTGAAACAGTAACTGTAACTGAATACAGTTACTCATAATTTGTACTCTGATTACATAACTCTGGTACATGTAATCCGTTACTCCCCAGCACTATCCATATACAATGACATTCTGTGATATAGAGTAAAATCACACAAAACTGAACAAATACAAAGTTCAAGAAATACCATATGCTATACAAAATATAATCATATGGTATTTTTTCTATATTTGTGGTTTCCCATATAGACAAGATGTTGCTTAGTGGAAGGACTTTTTAGTGGTTTGGGCATTTTCTCAAAGGCTCTCAAGGTTGTTGTGTCTTTTTGAGCTCTCAAATACAAGGCAGCAGAGCAAATGGCTTATGGTCTCTACAGCTTCTGTAATTTATCCATAAACTGTCGCTGATCTCTTTTGGCAAAAAATCAGTTCACTCCTTTTTCGGCAGGGTTATGTCTCATCGTGAACCAAGTAGTACACTAGATAATAATGCACACAGCCCTCAGTGTGTCTTGTGTGTGTAAACAGAAAGAGTTACAATAAACAGTACTACACTAGAAGTAGTAAATCAGACAGAAGATAGCTCATAGTTTTCATACAAACGTTACTAAACCTAATATTCATGATATTCAAAAACATATACATATTTCTGATTAAAATGTGTTTAGTGTTTTGAAGTGCATTTGTATTTCACTGTAAATCATACATTTATAGGATGCAGAGGACGATAGCTCCACCGACAAATCTGTTTTTTTTTTTTCTTTCAAGGTAACACTTTATGTTATTTGTGTGACTGCAGCAGTAAATTCATTTTCACACTGACTATATATATTTGTCAGACAGCCAGGCCCCTCCTCCATACATGTTCAGCCAGACGACAGGGTTTCTGTCATGTTGTTATTGAATTTTCTTAACATGATTTGCATGTTGATTTTATGTTGGTTGACGACTGATTACTTGACACACTGAAAACCATTTTGCAGTCACAGTGTTCTGCAGTCAATATATGCCCTTTGCATTTATCATAAGTCTTTTATTTATGTACTGGCAAGTTTAAACAAAACAATAAAAGTTTCAAAGTGATGTTAAATTTGCACTGGTGTGATAGCAGTTAGCAATTCAAAATATATTACTATCTTTTTGAATGGTCAGAAGTACTCAAAATCGCACCTAAAATCAGATTAAACTCATACCAAGGTTTCAGGCCTACTGTATCATCTTGCCATAATATTTTCAATAAGAGCAATCTAATTCTACCACATGTGATATCTGGAAGAATTCTTCTCCTTTCTCTTTTCTAAAACCTTACTCACTTATACCAACTGTTCATTTTAAGGCGACTTGACACTTTGCACAGGAGGCTGGGAATACCAAAGTACCAGAGGGATCTTTCATTTGATTAATTTGGTACTTGAGTTTTCAATGGATCCAGGATTAAATTTGCATTGATGTCCTCGGCGAAATGCACGGAGAGGCTGCCAAGAATACTTCCTGAAATGTCACGATCCCTTAAACGGTGGTGTGTTACATTGTCAATTTGGTCAGAAAAAGGCTCTCATCTCATTGCCCTTTTCAGCCATTTTAAGCTCATACAGGTGTCTTTGCTGATACGTTTTAGCACTGGTGTTTTCTGCCAAATTTTGTTTACTAGTAGTAGGTTAATATGACTACACTAAATGCAATTTCCAAATTAATATGGATTAAATCATGTTCAGGTATTTATCTGAGATTTTCCTGTGAGTCTAGAAGAAGTTTAGAATAATTTATATTTACCATAAAACTTTAATCTGTAGCCTAATTATACTATTTATAAATTTTTAACAACAACAGTCATCCCAGGTAAACTTTTGCGTATTGTTTTGTATCGCATATGCAACGTTTCAGGAGGGGGGTAAAGCACCTTCTTGTCTCCATGGAGATTGTTTTCCTTTGCCTGGAATGTTCCACTGTATAGGATTAAACATATTGGGTTTTACTGCTATAAATAATACCTTGAAAAATATGCAGTGTTAAGGTAAGCTCTCACGCCTCTCCATAGATCAGAGTTGTAACTTAGCCTGGTTGCGTCATCTCGTTGTATCCATATGTGTAATGCCATACTGTGGAATATTCTGAGCAAAGTAATAACATTGTAAACAAGCAGGTTGCACACCGTCTAACAGAACAAGAAGTGCCAAACATAAAAATGAATGAAAAATGTCTTAAAGTGCATTTGACAGATTAACATATTTTTCTAATTATCATTTGGTTTGGTGGGATAGTATCTGAGATTTGACTTCAGTTTAGATGGAGTCTGTGAAGAAAAGTAGAAAACAAAAAGTTGAAAAATACAGAAAGTAGCCTTGAGTTAAAATATAATCCCTTTACCTACGTCATCAATTCCAGTCAAAATGCAGAGAACATTTACACTAGAGGAAGGTATTTTTCTGACAGTTTAAGCCTTGATTTAACAAAATAAAGGTATTGTAATTTATTTTTATTTTGTCAAATCATAACTATTATGTGATTTAAACACATTTTGGCCCTTGTTAACATTATGGTTGCGAGGTAACATGCCTTTATATACTGTATATCATATATGCTGCCCATGTCCAATCAGGAAGTAAAACAATACACTTCACCTAAATTACAAAACTAGAAAAGACTAAGCAAGATGTTTAGTCAAATCTATATAATGATGTTAACCATGTTTTAAAGCAGTGTTTCCCAAGTCAATAGACATTATTTGTAAATCCCAAAATAAAGGTGGATTTGACCATTATTGAACATTAATGAGGATATTTTATTGTTGACTGAGTGATCGTGTCTCTCTGAACAATTAACATTACTTAAGTTTTAAACAATGAAAAACAGTACTTAAACCAGCAATAAAAGGTATCCAGAAGTCGCCTATTTGGACATTAAATGTGGCCCATTTCTTTTTCTTTTCAACATTCAATTGAACCAGCAGTATTGGAATAGGGAATAGGATTGGATTGGAATAGGATTTGCTGACTCACTACCTCACTTATGTGTCAGAACTGTAACTGCAGATCCACATGCAGATCGTGACAAGGCAACCCAAAAAAAATGTCTTGGGTCCCACCTGAGGGTATCAACCCAGTCTTTAGGAAACACTATTAGAGAAATGAATCGTCTAATCTGTCATTTGCACTTATATATGCACTGAATTTTGACTGATACAGCTGGGGAAAACTCACCTTCAGTTGCCTCTGTGTGCCAAAAGTGAAGAGATTTGGTCTTGTTAGGGAGGTAATATTGAATGACTGGTAGAGATGTAGGTCTGTATGTCAAGTACCACAATGAAGGATTTTAGCATCACATGCAACTTTTCACAGTTTATCTTTTTCAGACCACCACTTCTTTGCACATAAAAGTCTACACTTGTATTTATTCTGTAGTGACACCTGTTTGTTTTCTGTGGGCTCAGGCACAAGTTGATTTTCAGTTTTGCCTTCAGCTGAAACCTTTATTAGAGGTAGTGAGAGGTAATAAATCAGCTTTTATTTGACAGTTTCTGCTTCCTGTGCCTGTGACGTTTGGGTTCAGCAGCTCTGGCCGATGGGACCCCAGGCACTAGACTGTAATAATGCTTCAGTAATGGAAATGGAGAGAACACATAATTACAGTTCGGGCAGAGAATGTGCTGGACTATAACAGAATACATCAGCTGTCTGTGATAATGGTCCATTCAACTTGAGGCTTGTATGCAAACAGAATGCTTTGTGTTACATCTCATTATATGTGAATGAGATGTAACAGCACTGGTACATACAGCCACTGAATGAAACAATAAGCAGGGTTGGGTTTGGTTAGTACTGAATCACAGTGGGGCAGCGGTTAGTGTCTAATGTTACTGTTGTTGTGTCCATATGAGCCTGTCACAACAATTACTATAATTACAACGTTGGCAACATGATGAATTAAAAGGTTGTTGTCTTGTTTCTGTGTTTATCAGTCCACCGTTTTCAGAATAAAGTAAAAACAGGTAGTTTACTGACATTGCTTATCCCGAACGTTGTAGGGTAATTTCAATTTTACAGACATCCCAAGATAAAACTAATGCCATAAAAGAAAATGTCTTTAAAATTATGCTTTGAGATTGTAATAAATAGTAAAAGATGATAAAAGGAAACAGTGATGGTGAAAATAATATTAGTTTAAGTATATGGACTAAAAATGTTTATTAAAAAAAGGGAGAAAAAGGAATTTCAATTATAAATTGGTCCAAATATATAAATGTAAGGGAGGCTAGCAGTGTGTTTATGTTGCACTATCACATTATTTTTGTTTTATTTAACCAAATAAAACAAAAATTTGGTTGTGGGTTGGGTTGTTGTGGGTGTTGTTGGTGTTGCTTTATGTTTTTGTGTTTTGTTTTTATGTTGATTATTGTAATTTGTTAAATGTTGATTATTGTATTTTGTTAAATGTTATATTCTGTTGTCCTTAATAAAAATAAAAATAAAAATAAAATAATCCCATGTGCATAGGGCTTTATTGCCGAATACCTGATAGATGGAACATTTATTTTGGCGGAGTGGGGTAAATATTTATTTTTGAGGAACATTCTGTTACTTTTCCGCAGTATATTTTATTTATTTATTTTAGCACTTGTTGAAAAAAATACAGTTCATAGAAACAGATTTGACAGCCAAGAATAAAACTGCATATGTAAAATGAAAAATCGTGATCATCTGCATAGGAGTGGCCAAAAAAAAAAAAAAAAAGGCTTCTGAAGACCGTTGCTCCCAGAAGGTAAAATATTTTTCATCATCAAAGATCATGATCAAAGATAAAAAAATAACAAGATAGTTTTTTTTTTACTCATTACAAAATATGATTTGAGCTGTAGGGGGTTGGATTAATTACTTCTATGACTCATTAAGTATTTCATTTATTTATTGCAGCTCGTGCTGTTTAACAATATTGCACATATAGAATAGTTTTTTGAGGAAATCCTGCTTTAGGGTTCTTATGTCAGTGGCATAACACACAATACACTCATTTGGTAATACAACTTTTATTTTGCTCATATTTCAAATCTAACTGGGAGGACAAAAGTAAAAATTTCACACAAACAAAACAATATAAGCAATGTATTGTTCTGTTCAAAATATTTCAAGTACCGCAGTTATTTTTTCAATTCTGTCTGCTATGTGACAAAGACGTTGAAAAGGTCTGTTGTACACATATTCTAGTTCTGTTGTGTTTTCATTGTTTGGTTCAGATACTTAAGCTTTACTGAGGTTTAAATTCCATCCATGGTCACTTAAAAACACATGCATTTCTCTTTTATGGACCTGTCTTTGTTATAGCAGAGCTGCTCCTTTACTGCTTCTCATTCCACTCTCATGTGCTGCAGTGTTAAAATTCAGCTCAGCACCGGCACTCCCTCAGTCATAGGCTAATATAATTACAAGCCCAGTGACTGTTGACATCGCTAATGTTGTGGCTGAACGAGGCAGCTACCTGACTCTTTAAGGAAATCCAAACTCCATGTGTGCAAGTGTAGCAGTTCATTTCTTTCTTCATTAACTTTATTATTATTATTTTTTTAAATCCTAGGAATAATAAGGTTCAGGTGCTATTCACAGCATACAGATACACACCATTCAATCAAGATTTAAACTAAAACATCATATATTTTGAATGGTTAGAAGTCCTTACAAGTTTAAGACGGAAGATCAAAATCATGAACACTATCCAAGGCTTTCTGAATGATGGTCATCTTTGACAGTTGCCATAGTGATTAACAATATGAAGGAAAATATCTTTAGAATGGATTAACTCATTTTGAGAAGGTCCTCGAATGTTGAAGCTGACAACAATGACACACAGGGAGAATATGCAGACTTGTATTAAATCATGTATCAAACCTTCAACCCTCTTGTTACCACCCCCATATAGTATTGAAAAAAATATGACAGATTTTTGAAATTTCATTCCACATCTTGTCTTATACTAACTTAATAATAACTCAAAGGGCCACTGGATCAGAATAAAGTTTGTGCAAAAACAAAAAACAAAAACAGGTCTGCACTGCTGTTCTTTGGAGATGCCAAATTTTTATCATAATGACCCTAAAATGTCAGTGTTTCATGATCAAGCCCTTCTTCCCATGTTTGAAGAAGGGCTTGACCCGACTGACTACAATTTTTGTCGCAACAGCACGCACTCGCAACTTTTATTGGATGTGCATGTCTCTAACTGTATCTATCAGAATGAAATTTAGGTATTCTGAAAGTTGTCAGTCATTATGTCTAGATTACAGAGTCACTCTTGAAATTTGCTGCTCTTGTGGTGTTTCCATACAAATGGCAAAATTAAATAAGTAGGGTCTAATGTGTTGTTAAGTGGAAAATATGTTTATACCTTTCTTTCTTTTTTCAGTATGGTAATCTTCAGCAGTAGATTAATCCAATAACTGTATTTCATTTTTGGCTTATTACTAGACCCTTTAGTACATTAACAGGACAACCTCCTCAGAATTAAATGTTTTGCAGAATCTTCACTGAGGTCAGAACCAGAGACACTTTAATACTCAATGTTTACAGTAGCACACCTCAAGTACACCTCTAACATGTGATGATCAAAGATTGTTCATAAACCCTTGACACATAGCAGCGCTTTCAGTAAACAGCAAACAGACACTAGAGAGAAGAGAAATGTATGACAATATAGTTTAATTCAGCCTCAGTTACTTCATCATGCTTACGCACCTGTACAGAGCCGGGGCGGGGCCTGTCTCCTTCTTCTGCTCACTACACTCACTTCTGTAAAAGTACTACAGAAACACCAGCTACTGACAAACTCCAGGAAAACCTCTGCTCTCAACATAATGAGGTGAAGACGTTATTCTGCCACACAGATCAGCAGATCATCTGTTACCTCTGCTCTGTGGACCAACACAAGGGCCATAACACAGTGTCCTCTGCAGCAGAGAGGGCCCAGAGACAGGCACAGCTGCAGGCCAACAAGTCCCTGCTGTTCCAGAGTCTCCAGCACAAAGAGACAGACCTGAAGAAGCTCCAACAGGACGCTCTGCCCAGAGAGCACTGCAGCAAAGTGGGGACATGTTCACTCAGATGGTCCTTCTCCTGGAGGAAAGACGCTCTGAAGTGGAGCAGCAGATCCAGTCTGACCACGAGACCAAACTGAGTCAAGTCTGAAATCTCCAAGCCCAACTGCAGAGGGACATCTGTGATCTGAAGAAGACCATCTCTGAGCTGGACACACTGTCCCTCACTCCAGATCATAACCAGTTTATACTGCACTGTCCGCCACTGTCCACACTCACGAAGAGAACAGAGTCCAGTGTCCAGATCGGACTAAAGGGGGACTTTGAGGACATGACCAGAGCTGTGTCAGTGCTCAGGGACAAAGTGCAGCTCACTATCAGAGAGTTTAAGCTGCCTCAACCTGGGCTATGCACCAGAGAGGACTTCATCAGATACTCACAGGACATTAAAATGGACCCAAACACAGCACACAAACAATTGTCTCTGTTTGATGGAAACAGAAGAGTCACAGTTAGGAATAAAGAGCAGAGGTGTCCTGATCACCCTGAGAGGTTTGTTGAATGGCGGCAGGTCATGAGCAGAGAAAGTCTGACAGGCTGCTGTTACTGGGAGGTGGAGTGGAGCGGGGACTTGAGGGTTCGCATAGCGGTGTCCTACAGGGACATTAAGAGACAAGGGACTCCCACTGAATGTCTGTTTGGGGACAATGATAAATCCTGGGCCTTATACAGCACAGAAAATAAATACTCATTTTGGTTCAATAATGTGGAGTCTAAGGTGTCAGGTCCATTTTCGTCCAGAATCGGGGTTTACCTGGACCACAGTGCAGGGCTTCTGTCCTTTTACAGTGTTAAGGGTCAGAGCATGAACCTCCTCCACAAAGTCCACACCAACTTCACTCAGCCTCTGTTCACTGGTGTCCGTTTTTACACATTTGGAGACACTGCTCACTTCATTAAACTAAAATAATAAATAATGTTTTTTACTGTTCTGCTGAAGTTAAGGATGTAGACAATGGGAGGGTAATTCTTCATGTGTAATTCATAATGTTTTTACTTAAGTTCAGTTACTACTACAATCACCACTTATACTGCCAGCACAATACTATTACTAGCTACTATGACTACATACACTGAGGAGGAATTCTACTTGCTTATTTCAATGTTTTGACCAAGTTCCACTGACGTGTCTTACATGATCAGACTTTTGAAAAAACATCCTCTGTCACAGAAACATAATCCAAGTATCCAAGTATTCAGTATTTTAGTCCTGTCACTGCTGCTCTGATCACTAGGTAAAGTATCTGTAAATTTGTGGCCAAACTGGTGGAGTCAGGTTAAAGAGAAATGGGTGTGGGTCTGTAACTACATGAAAATATGTATTCTTTCCCATTAACTAGAGTGTTTTTAAATGCACTTCAAAAAGTTTAAGTTTTTATCTGTTGTTCTTTATTTACATATTTTAATGTTTTTTCCCATCACATATATTGTTTGAATATCACATGAATAATTAATATCTTTCTTTATCTCATTTTGTACAAGTGAAATTTTCCACTTGTTTTTGTCTTTATTATTCCTGATTCTAGAAGAGGGAGTCATGCTCTCAGGTGGGAGGCAGGAGCCAGGTTTTCTCTTAAAAAATCAATCAATCAATCAATCAATCAAAATTGAAATATCCAAAAGTTTAAAAGTCCTAAATGTTGAACATGATCATTTATATTAGTGATGACATCCAAGTAAATTATTAGCAGATATCAATAACATTAATTTTGCCACCACAGCCTCTATCTTTATTAGACACAGTAGTGCTCAGTGCTCAGGGACAAACTGCAGCTCAGACGCATCCTGATCACCTGGAGAGGTTTGTTTATTATGAGGTCATGAGAAGACCAGTCTGACAGAACTGGCCACAGAGTCTGGAGTCTGGCTCTGTGATTATGGAGACACTGTCCATTTCATTAAACTCAAATGAAATGTATGGCTGAAATTAAAAGGATGTAGACTGATGTTTTTGGAGATTCATGAAAAATTTTAAGATTATGTTTAATGATTACCATTTAAGCCTAATACATATTTTTTTCCCTGTGCATCAAATGATTATTATTATTCTACTGCTAGCACAATACTATTAGTATTATTAACTACTATGACTACATATATTGAAGAGGAATATTTACAGTAGTTGTTGCTTACATTTCTGTGTTTTGACCAAGTTCCTCTGATCTGAACATTCTCTGACACTGAAATAGAACCAAAACTAAACTGAATAATATTAGGAGTGTTTAGAATGTTACATACATACACACAATACATACAATTGTAATGTATGTATACACATGACAGTGTAGTCATGTGACTCGTACATTTAAATAAAATCCATATGCACCTGTGAGTTTTGCATGCCCTGATGAAGACGCAAGTCGAAACACGTTGGTGTTTTACATAAAATAGAAATAACAGCTAAATATATAGGGGATTTCCTCGGATCTCCTCTTTCGTCTAGTCTATTCAGAGACCCTTGATACATAAGAGTACTATCAGAAAACAGCAGACAGACACCTGAGAGGAGAAAAAATTATAACATAGTAGTTTATCTGAACCTTAGTCACTTCCTCATGTTTAGACCTGTACAGAGCAGGGGGCGAGGCCTGTCTCCTCCTCCTGTTCACTAGACTCACTTCTGTAAAAGTAAAACTAACAGTCACTCTGACTGAGTGGAGACATGGCACAGAGATCTCTAAACCAGGAAACTATAACTTGTTCCATCTGTTTGGATCTGCTGAAGGATCCAGTGACTCTCCCCTGTGGACACAGCTACTGCAGGGACTGTATCCAAACCAACTGGGACCAAGAGGAAAGGTACAGCTGTCCTCAATGTAGACAGAGCTTTGTCCCCAGGCCTGTCCTGGTCAAGAGCACAGTGTTAGCCAATATAGTGGAGGAGCTGAAGAAGACAGGGCTTACAGCGCCCCCTGCTGACCACTGCTATGCCGGACCTGGAGATGTGAGTTGTGATTTGTGCACTGGGAGGAAGCTGAAGGCTGTTAGCTCCTGTCTGCAGTGTCTGGTCTCTTACTGTGAGACTCACCTCCAGCCTCATCGTGATGTGGCAGTACTACAGAAACACCAGCTGGTGGCGCCCTCTGACAAACTCCAGGAAAATCTCTGCTCTCAACACAACAAACTGATGGAGTTATTCTGCCACACAGATCAGCAGATCATCTGTTACCTCTGTTCTGTGGACCAACACAAGGGCCATGACACAGTGTCCTCTGCAGCAGAGAGGGCCCAGAGACAGGCACAGCTGGAGGCCAACAAGTCCCTGCTGCTCCAGAGTCTCCAGCACAAAGAGACAGACCTGAAGACGCTCCAACAGGACGCCCAGAACATCAGCCGCTCTGCCCAGACAGCACTGCAACAAAGTGGGGACATGTTCACTCAGATGATTCTTCTCCTGGAGGAAAGACGCTCTGAAGTGGAGCAGCAGATCCAGTCTGAGCACGAGACCAAACTGAGTCAAGTCCAAGAGCTCCAAGACCAACTGCAGAGGGACATCTGTGATCTGAAGAAGACCATCTCTGAGCTGGACACACTGTCCCTCACTCCAGATCATAACCAGTTTATACTGCACTGTCCTCCACTGTCTACACTCACGAAGAGAACCAGTGTCCAGACCGGACCAAGGGGGGACTTTGAGGACATTACCAGAGCTGTGTCAGTGCTGAGGGACAAACTGCAGATCGCTCTGAGAGAGTTTAAACTGACTGAACCTGAGCCATGCACCAGAGAGGACTTCATCAGATACTCACAGGACATTACACTGGACCCAAACACAGCACACAAATATCTGTCTCTGTCTGATGGAAACAGAAGAGTGACAGTTATGAATAAAGAGCAGAGTTATCCTGATCACCCTGAGGGGTTTGTTAAGTGGTGTCAGGTTATGAGCAGAGAGAGTCTGACAGGCCGCTGTTACTGGGAGGTGGAGTGGAGTGGGGACTGGGGGGTTCGTATAGCAGTGTCCTACAGGGACATAAAGAGACAAGGGACCAGAGAGGAATGTGGATTTGGGAACAATGATAAATCCTGGGCCCTGCACTGTGGGAAAAGCACATACTCATTTTGGTTCAATAATGTCGAGTCTGAGGTCTCAGGTCCATTTTCGTCCAGAATCGGGGTTTACCTGGACCACAGTGCAGGGGCTCTGTCCTTTTACAGTGTTAATGGTCAGAGCATGAACCTCCTCCACAGAGTCCACACCAACTTCACTCAGCCTCTGTTCACTGGAGTCTGGCTTGGTAACTTTGGAGACACTGCTCATTTTATTCAACTCAAATAAAATGTATCTTGCTGTTCTGCTGAAGTTAGAGGAATGTGAACAGTGGGAGAGTTTTTGGAGATGAATTAAGAATAGAAAAATATGTTTAATTGTTACTATCAAACTCTGAGTCATCCATTTTTCTTATGCATTTGATGATCTACAATTACCACTTACTGCTAACACAATACTATTACTATTACTATTACTATTACTATTACTATTACTATTACTATTACTAAGTACTATGACTACATGAATTGAAGAGCAGTAGCTACAGTACTTTGTTTTGTGTTTCTGTGTTTTGACCAGGTTCTTCTAATTTGGCTCACCTGATCAGATTTTTGAAGTATGGGGAGTCCGCAAAAATATATATTCTTTGTATCATTGTTTGATTTTATGATTTTTTTTTTTTTTTTTGGGCGCATATCTAAAACCTGTTTAATATTAGTGATTTGTTGTATAGGCAGATCAAAATGTAATATTTTCAGTGTGTACAAATAAAAATAAATAAAATAAAAACACTCAAATAAACTATTATCACTATGGAGTCACTATTTAATGCAAACATGACAGGACCAACATTCTTGCCAGTATTCCTTAAAAAAAAAAAAAAAAAAAAAAAAAAAAAAAATCTGAATCAGAAATATCAAAAGTCCTAAATGCTGGATATGATCATTTGTATTAGTGGTGACATCCAACCACATCATGCACAAAATCAGCAGATATCAGTTCTATTCATTTTAAGTCTTTTGAACCATATTGCTTTTGTTTCTGGTTCTGATATTGTTGTATTTTAGTTATGGGATTCGGACATTGTAATCATGTGGTTGTTGTATGTCCTAACAGCGGAAAACGGCTTGATAAATGGGCTCTGGAAGTTTGCAAACTCCATAAATGCAAAAGGGAATCAGATCTGTGTGACTGCAAACCTCTAATCAAACAGTTTCCCTTGACAACGGAATTGAAAAATAGTGAAAGGCAAAGGTGATGGGCAGTACTGATACCCAGGAAGGATGAAAAAGGGAACCTTTGACTGCCTAAATCATCCCGAGTTTGCAGCGAACATTTTGTATGTGGAGCGCCATCAAAGTGGGATCCCGTTTGTTAAGCGAGAGGTGCAGAGGACAAACAGGATGAGCTCGCACTTTCTTGTTCTTGTGGCTTTACAGCAACATCACGTCTTGGTCGCTTTGCAGTGGAAGGTGTTTCTTGGAAAACAGCTGATGCCTTTCGCTTTGGCGTTGACTTTTTAAATTCATAACTGTGGTTGAGCGAGGGATTGGGGTTTTGCTTTGATGGCGCTCCACATACAAAATGTTCACTGCAAACTCGGGATGATTTAAGCAGTCAGAGGTTACCTTTTTTTGTCTTTCCTGTGTAACAATACTGCCCATCGCCTTTCACTATTTTTCAGTTCCGTTGGGAAGGGAAAGAGTTTGAACGGAGATTTGCAGTCATACAAATCTGACTCCCTTTTGCAGTTACAAAGTTCGCAAAAACCTTTCTTGAGCCGTTTTCCGCTGTTAGGACATCCAACAACCACACAATTACGATGTCCAAATCCCAAAACTAAAATATGACAATATCTGAACCAGAAACAAAAGCGATATGGTTCAAAAGACTAGAAAAGCCTGGCTTTGTCAATAGAAGCATCCCACTGGGAAATCAAACATGGCAGTTTGATGCTCACTTTTTCCAAAAATTTCGCAATGCATACTAGGAAATCCTTCCCTGTATGCATTGCACAATGACCAGAAGTCCAAAATTCGTGATGCCTGTATTGTTAGACCCTTTAGGATGGAAACCGGATTTATTGTTTTGGAGAAAAATCTATGACACAGTAGTTTAACTCGGCCTCAGTCACTTCCTCATGTTAAGACTTGTAAAGGAACAAGAGGAGGGGCCTGTCTCTTCCTCTTCTTGCTCACTACACTCACTTGTGCAAAAGTGAAACTAACAGTCCCTCTGACTGACGGAGACATGGCGCAGCGAGCTCTAAACCAGGAAACTATAACTTGTTCCATCTGTTTGGATCTGCTGAAGGATCCAGTGACTCTCCCCTGTGGACACAGCTACTGCAGGGACTGTATCCAAACCAACTGGGACCAAGAGGAAAGGTACAGCTGTCCTCAATGTAGACAGAGCTTTGTCCCCAGGCCTGTCCTGGTCAAGAGCACAGTGTTAGCCAATATAGTGGAGGAGCTAAAGAATACAGGGCTCACAGTGCCTCCTGCTGACCACTGCTACGCTGGACCAGGAGATGTGAGTTGTGATTTGTGCACTGGGAGGAAGCTGAAGGCTGTCAGCTCCTGTATGCAGTGTCTGGTCTCTTACTGTGAAACTCATCTCCAGCCTCATCGTGATGTGGCAGTACTACAGAAACACCAGCTGGTGGCGCCCTCTGACAAATTCCAGGAAAATCTCTGCTCTCAACACAACGAGGTGAAGAAGTTATTCTGCCGCACAGATCAGCAGATCATCTGTTACCTCTGTTCTGTGGACCAACACAAGGGCCATGACACAGTGTCCTCTGCAGCAGAGAGGGCCCAGAGACAGGCACAGCTGGAGGCCAACAAGTCCCTGCTGCTCCAGAGTCTCCAGCACAAAGAGACAGACCTGAAGAAGCTCCAACAGGACGCCCAGGACATTAGCCGCTCTGCCCAGACAGCACTGCAACAAAGTGGGGACATGTTCACTCAGATGATTCTTCTCCTGGAGGAAAGACGCTCTGAAGTGGAGCAGCAGATCCAGTCTGAGCATGAGACCAAACTGAATCAAGCCCAAGAGCTCCAAGACCAACTGCAGAGGGACATCTGTGATCTGAAGAAGACCATCTCTGAGCTGGACACACTGTCCCTCACTCTGGATCATAACCAGTTTATACTGCACTGTCCTCCACTGTCTACATTCACAAAGGGGACAGAGTCCAGTGTCCAGACCGGACTAAGGGGGGACTTTGAGGACATGACCAGAGATGTGTCAGTGCTGAGGGACAAACTGCAGATCGCTCTGAGAGAGTTTAAACTGATTGAACCTGAGCCATGCACCAGAGAGGACTTCATCAGATACTCACAGGACATTACACTGGACCCAAACACAGCACACAAACAACTGTCTCTTTCCGACGGAAACAGGAGAGTCAGAGCTATGGATAAAGAGCAGAGTTATCCTGATCACCCGGAGAGGTTTGTTGAAAGGTGTCAAGTCATGAGCAGAGAGAGTCTGACAGGACGCTGTTACTGGGAGGTGGAGTGGAGCGGGTACTTGAGGGTTCATATAGCAGTGTCCTACAGGGACATAAAGAGACAAGGGACCAGAGAGGAATGTGGATTTGGGAACAATGATAAATCTTGGGCCCTGCACTGTGGGAAAAGCACATACTCATTTTGGTTCAATAATGTCGAGTCTGAGGTCTCAGGTCCATTTTCGTCCAGAATCGGGGTTTACCTGGACCACAGCGCAGGGGCTCTGTCCTTTTACAGTGTTAATGGTCAGAGCATGAACCTCCTCCACAGAGTCCACACCAACTTCACTCAGCCTCTGTTCACTGGAGTCTGGCTTGGTAACGTTGGAGACACTGCCCATTTCATTCAACTCAAATAAAATGTATCTTGCTGTTCTGCTGAAGTTAGAGGAATGTGAACAGTGGGAGAGTTTTTGGAGATGAATTAAGAATAGAAAAATATGTTTAATTGTTACTATCAAAGTCTGAGTCATCCATTTTTCTTATGCATTTGATGATCTACAATTACCACTTACTGCTAACACAATACTATTACTATTACTATTACTATTACTATTACTATGTACTATGACTACATGAATTGAAGAGCAGTAGCTACAGTACTTTGTTTTGTGTTTCTGTGTTTTGACCAGGTTCCTCTAACTTGGTTCACCTGATCAGATTTTTGAAGTATGGGCACATTCTCTCTCATAGAAACATAATAAAAACTAAACTGATTAATGTTAGGAGTGTTCAGTGTGTTAAAGGGAAAAGGGTGTGGACCTATAACTCCATAAAAATATTAATTCTTTGTATCATTGTTTGATTTTATGATATTTTTTCTTGTGTGCATATCTAAAATCTGCTTAATATTAGTGATTTGTCGTATATGAAGATAAAAATGTATTTTCAGTGTGTAGAAATAAAAAATAAATAAAATAAAAACACTCAAATAAACTATTATCACTTTGGAGTCATTATTTAATAAAAGCATGACAGGACTAATATTCTTGTTTCTAATGTCATTTTGCTACCTGTTTAGTTTTAGTTACATTTCTTTCTTGCACATAGTTTATTGTTAGTTTTTACCACATATTTGTTTTAATATTGCATCATTATTGTCTATCTGAGTCTCCTGGTTCTAGAATAAGAGCACTTCATTTTCTCAGATGGGAGGCAGGAGCCAGTATTCCTTAAAAAAAAAAAATAAAAAAAAAAAAAAAGAATCAGAAATATCAAAAGTAAAAAAGTCCTAAATGTTGGATATGATCATTTGTATTAGTGGTGACATCCAACCACATCATGCACAAAATCAGCAGATATCAGTTCTATTCATTTTACGTCTTTTGGAGTCTTTTGAACCATATCGCTTTTGTTTCTGATTCTGATATTGTCATATTTTAGTTATGGGATTCAGACATTGTAACTGTGTGGTTGTTGGATGTCCTAACAGCGGAAAACGGCTTGAGAAATGGGCTTGCGAACTCCATAAATGCAAAAGGGAATCAGATCTGTGTGACTGCAAACCTGCGTTCAAACTGTTTCCCTTCCCAACGGAACTGAAAAATAGTGAAAGGCGAAGGCGATGTGCTGTATTGATACACAGGAAAGACGAAAAAGGTAATCTTTGGCTGCCTAAATCATCCCGAGTTTGCAGCAAACATTTTATATGTGGAGCTCCATCAAAATGGGATCCCGATTGTTAAGCGAGAGGTGCAAAGGACAAACAGGCTGAGCTCGCACTTTCTTGCTCTTGTGGCTTTACAGCAACATTAAGTCTTGGTCGCTTTGCAGTGGATGGTGTTTCTTGGCGAACAACCTTTGGCGTTGACTTTTTAAATTCGTAACCACGGTTGAGCGAGGGATTGGGGTTTTGCTTTGATGGTGCTCCACATACAAAATGTTCACTGCAAACTCGGGATGATTTAAGCAGTCAGAGGTTACCTTTTTCGTCTTTCCTGTGTAACAATACTGCCCATCACCTTTCACTATTTTTCAATTCCGGTGATTTGCATTCACACAGATCTGATTCCCTTTTGCAGTTATGAAGTTCGCAAACAAATTTCTCAAGCAGTTTTCTGCTGTTAGGACATGCAACAACCACACAATTACGATGTCCAAATCCCAAAACTAAAATATGACAATATCAGAACCAGAAACAAAAGCGATATGGTTCAAAAGACTTGAAAAGATCAGCTTTGTCAATAGAAGCATCCCACTGGGAAAACAAATATGGCGGTTGGATGCTTACTTTTTTGGAAAAAATCGCAATGCATACTGGGAAATCTTTCCCAGTATGCATTGCGCAATGACCTGATGTCCAAAATTTGTGATGCATCTATTGTTAGACCCTTTAGGATGGAAACCGGATATCAGGAACACAAGCTCTTCATAATGAAATGTTTTGCTGAATCTTCACTGAGGACAGACCCAGAGACAGTTTCAGACTCAGGGTTTACATTAGTTACTGTGAAATACACCTCGAACATGTGACAATCAAAGTCTGCTCTGTGGCCCTTGATCCATTCAGGCTGCTGTTACTGGGAAGAGGAGTTTTTCCTCCATATAGTCCACAGCGCCTTCACTCGGCCTCTGTTCACTGGTGTATGGACTGTTGGAGACACTGTCCATTTTATTAAACTCAAATGAAATGTATCTGAAGTTAGAGGGAAGCAGACAATGGGAATGTTTTAGCAGATTCATGAAAATGTCTAATTCATCATGTTTACTTGTGCACTGAAGGATTATTACTACTACCATTACAACTTCTACTGCTAACTCAATACTATTACTATTACTAAATATTATGACTACATCAGTTGAGGAGTAGTTGTAGTATTTGCTTAATCTTTGGACAATAGAAACAATTTGATCTACTTCTCATTTTCAAAAATATAGCGAAGCAAACAACAGACACCTGCTCTCAAATGTAGTGAATTAAAAAGTATCCACATTAAAATGTCCTTAGGCACAGTACAGAAAAAAATACTTTTACAGAAACTTTTGTACTTTGTTACTTTCCACCACTGTAATACTGCGATACTACCTGAAACCCCCAAATAATAAATTCAATATCTCATACATACGGTCAGTCATACAGAGATTAGACTATAATTCAGGTGAAACATCTTTAACTTTAGCAGTAGATTTAACTGTTCTTCATTTTTCATTTAATCTTTTTCTTATTTGCAGTTTATAATAATCGAAGCATGATTAAGCAAGTTAAGGTGTTTTTTTTCCCTCAGCATTTTTTCCTCAATTTCATTTTTTACAGAATGTTAAAACAAAACATATATAAGCAATATAATTACAGAAGAAAAATAAATAAATAAAATACAAGAAGAAAAAATATATAACAAAATGAAAATATAGAATACAAAAAATATACACAATAATATGTTAGAGTTACATCCCATATTTTTAAGTCTATATATTTAGTTTTTTAAAATAATGATTAACGACCTTACAAGAGAATTCCCTTTAATAATTAGTATTTGATGTTTGATGAATATTCATATAAATTTGTTCACAACCTACTTGCTGAAGGTTCATTTTCTCATTTATTTTTTAACTTTATCAGTGGTTTCTTGTTTTGGAGAGAAATCTATGACACAGTAGTTTAATTCAGCCTCAGTCACTTCCTCATGTTTAGACCTGTAAAGGAGCAGGGGGCGGGGCCTGTCTCCTCCTCCTGCTCACTCCACTCACTTCTGTAAAAGTGAAACTAACACAGTGACTGGAGACATGGCGCAGCGAGCTCTAAACCAGGAAACTATAACTTGTTCCATCTGTTTGGATCTGCTGAAGGATCCAGTGACTCTTCCCTGTGGACACAGCTACTGCAGAGACTGTATCCAAACCAACTGGGACCAAGAGCAAAGGTACAGCTGTCCTCAATGTAGACAGAGCTTTGTCCCCAGGCCTGTCCTGGTCAAGAGCACAGTGTTAGCCAATATAGTGGAGGAGCTAAAGAATACAGGGCTCACAGCGCCCCCTGCTGACCACTGCTATGCCGGACCTGGAGATGTGAGTTGTGATTTGTGCACTGGGAGGAAGCTGAAGGCTGTCAGCTCCTGTCTGCAGTGTCTGGTCTCTTACTGTGAGACTCACCTCCAGCCTCATCGTGATGTGGCAGTACTACAGAAACACCAGCTGGTGGCGCCCTCTGACAAACTCCAGGAAAATCTCTGCTCTCAACACAACAAACTGATGGAGTTATTCTGCCACACAGATCAGCAGATCATCTGCTCCCTCTGTGTGGACCAACACAGGGGCCATGACACAGTGTCCTCTGCAGCAGAGAGGGCCCAGAGACAGGCACAGCTGGAGGCCAACAAGTCCCTGCTGCTCCAGAGTCTCCAGCACAAAGAGACAGACCTGAAGAAGCTCCAACAGGACGCCCAGGACATTAGCCGCTCTGCCAAGACAGCACTGCAACAAAGTGGGGACATGTTCACTCAGATGATTCTTCTCCTGGAGAAAAGACGCTCTGAAGTGGAGCAGCAGATCCAGTCTGAGCACGAGACCAAACTGAGTCAAGTCCAAGAGCTCCAAGACCAACTGCAGAGGGACATCTGTGATCTGAAGAAGACCATCTCTGAGCTGGACACACTGTCCCTCACTCCGGATCATAACCAGTTTATACTGCACTGTCCTCCACTGTCCACACTCACAAAGGGAACAGAGTCCAGGGTCCAGACCGGACTAAGAGGGGAATTTGAGGACATGACCAGAGCTGTGTCAGTGCTGAGGGACAAACTGCAGCTCACTCTGAGAGAGTTTAAACTGACTGAACCTGAGCCATGCACCAGAGAGGACTTCATCAGATACTCACAGGACATTACACTGGACCCAAACACAGCACACAAACAACTGTCTTTGTCTGATGGAAACAGAAGAGTCACAGTTATGAATAAAGAGCAGAGTTATTCTGATCACCAAGAGAGGTTTGTTAGATGGTGGCAGGCCATGAGCAGGGAGAGTCTGACCGGTCGCTGTTACTGGGAGGTGGAGAGGAGTGGGGACAGGGGGGTTCGTATAGCAGTGTCCTACAGGGACGCTATGAGACAAAGGACCAGAGAGGAATATAAATTTGGGAATAATCATGCATCTTGGGCATTAGACTGCAGGGGAAACAGATACTCATTTTGGTTCAATAATGTCGAGTCTGAGGTCTCAGGTCCACTTTCGTCCAGAATCGGGGTTTACCTGGACCACAGTGCAGGGGCTCTGTCCTTTTACAGTGTTAATGGTCAGAGCATGAACCTCCTCCACAGAGTCCACACCAACTTCACTCAGCCTCTGTTCACTGGAGTCTGGCTTAATAGTTTTGGACACACTGCCCATTTCATTAAACTCAAATAAAATGTATGACTGAAATTAGTATCTAACGGGTGTCTTTGGAGATTAATGTAAAATGTAAAGTTTATATTTAATTATTGGTATGTATGTCTAATTCATCAAGTTGTCTTGTGCATTGAATGATTATTACTACACTTACCACTTCTACTGCTAGTGCAATAGTATTACTATTACTAACTATGTCTGCATAAATTGTGGAGGAATATCCACAGCATTTGCATGTTTTGCATGTTTGTTGCATGTTTGACCAAGTTCCTCTGACTTGGCTCACCTGATCAGACTTTTGAAGTAACATTCTTCGTCATAGAAACTTAATCAAAACTAGACTGAATAATGTTAGTGTTCAGTATGCTGGATCTGTCATTGCTGCTCTGCTCAGCTCTATCTGTAAATCTGTGAACAAACTGGTGGTGTCAGGTTAAAGGGCAAAGGGTGCGGGCCTTTAACTACATGAATTGTAAAATTAATTGTGTCATTGTTAAACACATATCTGTTAACCATTATCCAGAGTGATTTTTTTGTATGTGCTGTTCAAAATGTATTCTTTTCAGTGCAGATTAAAATACCATAAGAATACTTGTATATTAATGTATGTATGCATGTATGTAAAAGTACAAATTGAGTAGCAAAGAATTATTCTGTAAAAGTATCACATGAAAAATATCAAATACAGTAAAACTTTCAGAGTAAAAAATAAATGTAATGTAAAGTAAATAAAGCATAAAAGTTCAAGTTTGGCTGATTTTGAGAATAGGATCAAATGTTTAGTAAATTTTGGGGTTGTCCCAGAAATGACTGATGCAAAAAAAAGTGTGGTAAACAAACACTTATTATATTAAGTGTTATATTATAGTATGTATATATATATATATATATATATATATATATATATATATATATATATATATTAAGTGCTGTCATGCGATTAAAAAAATTGAGAGATTAATTAATCTGTAATTAATTAATCTAATTAATCTCATTTTAATCTCACCTAAAAATTGCTGAGAAAAGCCTTCAATTTGAGGTATTTTCATTTAAATTCATTATTACATTATTGTGGCAGATCAAAAGAAAAAGTGACTTTATAAAGTAATTTATTGTTTAACAAATCTCTGCAAATTGGCTGTTGAGCCCAAGTCTCCATGAATAAGAAACTGTTTGCTGTAAAGTAGCAAAGACGAGGAAATCTGAACATAACCAACGTTAACATGACGTTTACTTACGCTCTTACAGCGCGCGTTTTGTGTGGCTTTCCGGCAATGAGTGGAATTACCGAAATTAAAAAAATTATAAATGTGTTTTGTGTGTGTGTGTGTTGTTGTCCCAACAACACATAAAAACAGGTTTTATAATAAAGAAACTCACATACAGAAACACATAAGTTAGAGATTAAAAATGAGATTAACGCAATTAAAAAACATAACGCGCTAAATATGACTGTAATTAATTAATCGCAATTAACGCATAATTTGACACCCTAATATATATACACACACACACACATACATAATATATATATATATATATATATATATATATATATATATATATAAATATAGCTTTTTCTCTTTTCTTGGCAGAGTGTTTGTCCATGATATGAAGGTTGAAAGTTCAATCTCAGATCTTACAGGTGAATAATGTTGTGTCCTTGGGCAAGACACTTAACCCACCTTGCACTCAGTGTCTGCAAACACTTGTGTATGAATGTGTAGGTGAATGGTTGAGTGGCTCATTGTTCAAAAAAGCTTTGAGTGCCTTAAAATAGCAAAGTGCTGTCTAACTGACCACTTACCATCAACATATGTGCTTTCCTATTCAGTTCCATTTTCACAGCAAAATAGTTCTAATACTAGATCTTAAATCACTATAACTATTGTTTTGATTGTTTTGATTTGACAACAGATGCCAAGATAAATCAGTTAATCAGCATTTTGTCTTTACAGATCTCAATATAATAAAAAAGTAATAGCTCATGCCAAATTGATATCCAGTATGTAGCACAGTCAATTGAGTTCTACACCTTATCAGTCTGGAATGGCTCTCGCTGAAAGTGATCAGTAAACTCAGATAGTCATGAGGACTACTTGAATGTAACTGGCTGAAGCGTCACAACAGAGGAACCAACTGAAAAATCTAACTTTTGTCACAATCAGTTAAGAGAAAAGCATCTTCCCTGTCCACAGATGCACCAACCGCCGTGTTTGTTTTGGTTCCTTTGACTTCTGCACAAACCCCAATGCTGCTTTGTGATCGGTCCGTCTAATGAATTAACAGTAAAGCGGGCGCACTCTAAGATGGATTTTTGTGAGTTTGTGGACTCACAAATATCGCGGGACTCAATATTGCTCTACAGAGTTATTAAGGCTTGAATCACAATAAACGATCAGGTTAGGAGTAAAATCTGTATATACACATAAAATATACAAACACTGCTGCTAGTACTACTAATAGTGAAAGGTAAAAATGCTTACTTTTACTGACACTTTTGTTATGGACAGTGGTAAAATTTCAATTGATACTTTGTTTTTGTGTGCTGATGTCTTTTGGCAAATATTTTTTCTTACATGCCTTGGTAGGGGCACATTACAATATGCCCAATTTACACAAACCTGTACATTTATAATACATTAAATATATATTCTTTGTATCATTGTTTGATTTTATGATATTTTTTCTTGAGCACATATCTAAAATCTGTTTAATATTAGTGATTTGTTGTATATGAAGATAAAAATGTATTTTCAGTGTGTACAAATAAAAATAAATAAAATAAAAACACTCAAATAAACTATTATCACTATGGAGTCACTATTTAATAAAAACATGACAGGACCAATATTCTTGTTTCTAATGTCATTTTGCTACCTATTTAGTTTTAGTTACATTTCTTTCTTGCAAATTGTTTATTGCTAGTTTTTACCACATATTTGTTTTAATATTGCATCATTATTGTCTGAATCAGAAATATCAAAAGTAAAAAAGTCCTAAATGTTGAATATGATCATTTGTATTAGTGGTGACATCCAACCACATTATGCACAAAATCAGCAGATATCAGTTCTATTCATTTTACCACAGCTTCTATGAGACACAGGAGTTTGTAATACTGCAGTGGTGGAAGAAGAACTCATTTTACTTACAAACTTTAGGTAACTTACTCAAGTATAACAAGAAAAAAACCTACTTAAGTAAAAGCGCTGAGGTACAGGCCTAAAAGTGTACTTCAAATGTAAAAGTAACAGTATTTTAGATTTCAAGAATAGTGTCAAATGTAGTGATTTTGAAATTTGAATTGTGCTAATCAAAAAATATTTAATCTAGTTTCATTTTTTTCTTGCAGTTGTATTTGTTTGCTCATAACGAATGAACATGTTAAAAAATAAACACTCAGCCTCAACCTCATGTCCCAGACTACAAGCAAAAATTACAAACTTTTTAGTCCAGATCAAAATTATAGTGAAATAGAAAGTACAGATACCTGCTCTCAAATTTAGTGAAGTAAAAGTAAAAAAAAGTCCACTTTAAAATTTGCTCAAGTACAATACAGATACTTAAAAATGTACTTTTGCAGTACTTTGTTTTGTACTTTTTTATTACAGTGATAGCATCTGAAAACCAACAATAATAAATCTTGTCTAATATCTTGTCTAAGGTAGATCCAGCTGATCTTTTTGAGAAATACTCTTCTTCCAACAGTTTATCTTCTGTCACAGTTATCAAAATCGAGGTAAAATATTTTCAGTCTTAGCAGTAGATTCACCCATGTCTTATTTTTTCTTTTATTGTTAGACCTTTTAGGATGGAAACTGAATGCCAGGAACACAAGCTCTTCACAATGAAATGTTTTGCTGAATCTTCACTGAGGACAGACCCAGAGACAGTTTCAGACTCAGGGTTTACATTAGTTACTGTGAAATACACCTCGAACATATGACAATCAAAGTCTGCTCAGTGACCCTTGATCCATTCAGGCTGCTGTTACTGGGAAGTAGAGTTTTTTTTCCTCCACAGACTCCACAGCGCCTTCACTCAGCCTCTGTTCACTGGTGTATGGACTGTTGGAGACACTGTCCATTTTATTAAACTCAAATGAAATGTATCTGAAGTTAGAGGGAAGCAGACAATGGGAATGTTTTAGCAGATTCATGAAAATGTCTAATTCATCATGTTTACTTGTGCACTGAAGGATTATTACTACTACCATTACAACTTCTACTGCTAACTCAATACTATTACTATTACTAAATACTATGACTACATCAGTTAAGGAGTAGTTGTAGTAGTAGTATTTGCTTAATCTTTGTATTATAGAAATAATTTGATCTACTTCTCATTTTCAAAAATATAGTGAAGTAAGTTATAGACACCTGCTCTCAAATGTAGTGAAGTAAAAAGTATCCACATTAAAATGTACTTAAGTACAGTACAGATGTTTTAAAAAATTACTTTAACGGAAACTATAGTTCTTTGTTTCTCTGTGGTATCACCCAAAACCCCAAAATAATAAATTCAATATCTTGCTTAGATTTCTACAGTATTTCCTTTTTCACAATTTCGGTTTCATATACGGTCAGTAATACAGAGATTAGACTAGATTTACAGAAAGGTAAAACAAAAGATATATGATCAATATAATTACAAAAGAAAAATAAATAACGAGATGAAAATATGAAATACAATGAATATACGCCAACATATTTTAGAGTTACATCTCATATGTTCAAGTCTATATATTACGTTTTTTTAAATAATGATTAATGACCTTACAAGAGAATTCCCAATAATAATTAGTATTTGTTGTTTGATGAGTCATATACATTTGCATTTGTTCCTAATCTACTTGTTGAAAGTCAATTTCCCAATTATTATTATTATTTTATTTTTTTTACTTTACCAGTGGTTTCTTGTTTTTTAGAGAAATCTATGACACAGTAGTTTAATTCAGCCTCAGTCACTTCCTCATGTTTAGACCTGTAAAGAAGAAGGGGGCGGGGCCTGTCTCCTCCTCCTGCTCACTACACTCACTTCTGTAAAAGTAAACCTAACACAGTCACTCTGACTGAGTGGAGACATGGCGCAGCGAGCTCTAAACCAGGAAACTATAACTTGTCCCATCTGTTTGGATCTGCTGAAGGAGCCAGTGACTCTTCCCTGTGGACACAGCTACTGCAGAGACTGTATCCAAACCAACTGGGACCAAGAGCAAAGGTACAGCTGTCCTCAATGTAGACAGAGCTTTGTCCCCAGGCCTGTCCTGGTCAAGAGCACAGTGTTAGCCAATATAGTGGAGGAGCTCAAGAAGACAAAGATCAGAGCGCCCCCTGCTGACCACTGCTACGCTGGACCTGGAGATGTGAGTTGTGATTTGTGCACTGGGAGGAAGCTGAAGGCTGTCAGCTCCTGTCTGCAGTGTCTGGTCTCTTACTGTGAGACTCACCTCCAGCCTCATCGTGATGTAGCAGTACTACAGAAACACCAGCTGGTGGCGCCCTCTGACAAACTCCAGGAAAACCTCTGCTCACAACACAACGAGGTGAAGAAGTTGTTCTGCCGCACAGATCAGCAGCTCATCTGTTCCCTCTGTGTGGACCAACACAAGGGCCATGACACAGTGTCCTCTGCAGCAGAGAGGGCCCAGAGACAGGCACAGCTGGAGGCCAAAAAGTCCATGCTGCTCCAGAGTCTCCAGCACAAAGCGACAGACCTGAAGAAGCTCCAACAGGACGCCCAGG